AATATAAAAGAAATCTATTTTTCGAGCCCAGATCGAGTGGCACGCTGTTACAGAGACGCCCTCTTAATTTTCTGAGTTTTGGATTTTCTAAGCTAGGAATATAACGGGTCTTTATGAAGAGTTCGAAGTTCGTTTTAAAGTTCCACAGGGCAAAAAAGCACACAAAGAAAAAGAAGTAGAGAAAAGTTGTCAAGTGCATGGTTGACAAATTAGGTTTCCTGAAAACATTCAAAACCTTGCTTACCGGTGACGTTATGAAGTTTCCATGGAAATTTGGTTTGTGCTTGGCTTTTGAAGATACATATCGGCTTCAGTCTTTAACCATGAATATCTCCAAAACGACCTCTGGACACGACCTTTTTTCTTTACAAACCTGAAATCAGCATTAAATTTGAGTTTCAAAAATTGTTATTTAAAAACGCGTTTTCATCGGTATCTTTTCTATAGTAGGGAGCCACCTTTTAAATAAAGAAAAGTTATACTAATTCGCACCAGTCCCTCGTAGAGCCTATAAATTTCCATGCACAGTTTCATATAAACCTCGACGTTGCAACATCGATTTGAAAATTATTTATGGCTCACAAGTTCCAAACCCCGATAACGTGGCGCCTTTCCAAGTTTATTTTGGCAGCTAGCCCTCCAGTTCGTGTTCCCGCATATTTTCTTGTTTGTAATCCTGTTTCTGCTTCGCCTGTTCAAGAACCGCCTGAAAAAGTGAATGTTCGTGGTGAATCCATTTTAAATCACTTATTTAGGTCATTACTCATGTTCTCCCCGCTCCATACGCGTTTCATAAACAACCTTAATTGTAGTTCGCATGGTATGACAATATTCCCGTTTACCTTTAACATCGTTTCATAGTTTACTTACAGCATTTATTTACTTATGGCTGATTACTTAATTGTAGCTTTTCTTTTGTCACCTAGTTTTATTTTCGCCTTGGTTTCTCCCCAGTCTCCCGGCCATACTCCTGTCCCAGGTGCTAGTTTTATACTTTATTTACTGCTTTAGAATTTTTTCCTTTTTCCTTATCATTTGCTTTCTTTCTACAGCTAGTCATAAAGTTAATATCCTTGGGATCGATTTTAAAACAGTGCTATCTAGCCTATGAGAAAAGAGGGAACGACTGGTAACGAGCACCACCAACAATTAATGATTTCAAAAATATATTTTCATTACAAGAAAGACCATATCTAAATAAGTAATTTCGGAAAGTTCTGTTGTCATATAATGAATCCCTGTTATAAGCATTTRAAAAGTGTCAAAATATGATAGCGAGGCTCAGTAGTAAGCCCTTGGTTGTTGTTTCGTCCATACAAACCATTCTAATTTCAAACAGTTTTAAAATCAATACTGAAATCTAATACTGACTTTTGCAGTCACTACATTGGCTGCCAGTAGAGGAACGTGTCCAGTTCAAGATATTATTAGTGACATTCATGGACTCGCACCACGGTACCTTTTCGAGCTAATAAATGTAAGGACACCCACACGATATAGTCTCCGTTCAGATGATAGTTTATTGCTAATTCTCCCTAAGGGAAAGTCACTTGTCACATTAGGGGGGGCAGGTCTTTTAGTTTTGCGCGCCAAAGCTGTGGAACTGTCTACCCAAGCGAATCAGAGACTGCACTATCATCAGTACTTTTAAATCAATGGTCAAGACGTATCTCTTTAAGAACTCTTACCACCTATTATAATTGTTTAGTAAAAATGCACAGGTGATTATTGAAAATCTCGCACGCTGATTGGTCGAGAAACACACTATCACACGATAATCACCTCCAGCGATAATCCAAAATGGCGGCCAGCCGCTTTGTTGCTGTTACCGGAAAAAAAGTCTTTTATCTTCTTTTTTTGTGTGAAAGAATCACCAGTGTATGTATGATAAAACAACTATTTGCCTCAGCCTCAGCGCTCGAAGAGTCGCGTCTCGGTAAATATTCCCCAATATTCACTTCGCCTTCGGCGAATAATTGTTAAATAATTATTATGTCATTAATCTCCAAATTAGCATAAACTTGAAACTTGAATATGACTCGAACCAAAAATGCTAGCAAGAAAAGAAAACACCAGTTCAGTTTAGTCTTTTTTCTTTATTTTCTTTCCTTTTTTTCCTTTTGTTTTGTTTTTTGTTTTTGTAAATTACTTGAACAACTGTTTAATGAATTATCGTCATCTTTTCAGTTCCGAATAAAATTGTTATAAATAAATATAATCTCAAGATAGCAAAGTATTAATTATCATTATTAATGATATTTATTCATACTTCATATACTTAATACTATTTAATTTTAATTCCCAAAGATAATCATGAGGATCAGTACAATCTACGCGATCTTGTTGGTGTTTTCTTGGACTGTCTTCGGATTTTTGCCAGAGGTTGGTTCAGCGCCCAGCATGAGACATGACGTGAGTTACATTGATCATTTTCTTATCTTATATCATTGATGTCATATCTATACAAATTATAATTTGTCTATATGAATTATAATAGTAACTATTAGCTTAATGTCCGTCTAAGCATGAAGCATTAGTGAAGTAAAGGACTTTTAAAAAATCATAAACAATGCAAAATCAAAATCTAACTATCCATTAATTTAATATATGTACTACTTTTTTAGACGTTTTCGCAACTGCGAAAACGCTTTTCCCGTTCAGTGTCCTCAAACTGGAAAGAATGTTCGTGGAATAGTATCAGCGAGGGTAAAGACTACGGTCTGATCAGGGTAGGTATTAGCCGAAAGTTCTGTATATCAGGCGATTGTCCCCACCAAGCATATCGTATTGAAATGATCCCTTCCAGAAATGAAAAGAGCACCCCTATATTAATAATAAGGCGATGTTTTAGCTCATAATATAAGTGACACAGGAAAAATAGCGCTACATATCAAATTGAATTTTTTACTGAATAGGATCAGCGTGTATTGGGAAATATTTGTTGGGTAGTAACTGTTTAAGATTGCCACCAAAAGCATTTAATAGGTCTTTTGCAATAAACAGTCACGTGCTGATATATAACTTTGATAACGAATCAATTCCGCTCAAGGTCTCTGGGGAATGCTCTGCTGGATGGCAAGCGAACTTCAAACTGCTTCGTATCTTGAAATCAAAAAAGTATCTTATTTTTAAAATTACGCGACCTAGACGGATTCAGATGTTTGGAGTTTTCGTTTTCAAAGTTAGCACGCACTAAGTTAGAAGAAATTACCGCTCAACCAACCAGAAACAACCATTCCCATTGTGCAGTGCCTGAAATTATGTATAACTAGTGACTGTAGCTTTTCCTTATTTCTTTCCAACAGGATTGTGTTTTTAGAAAGAAACAGAGCAATTCTGCCCTGCACGTTTACTGGAATGGCGAATTCAGTGTGAATCAATGTAGCGGTTGCTGTAAGCGCTGGTTCTTCACGTTCAACGGTGCCGAATGTCAGTCGCCTCGTGCAATAGATGGCCTTGTGTACTTAAGTTATGGTACCGTTTGGCTCCACCGTGTCCGCCATATTGAGGGTCACTGTAACAATGTCCAAAGGGGAAATGTCCGTGTCGGCTTTAATGTTGGTGACTGTTCCGGGTATGGGAATGCTAATGCATACACCGGGTGGGGAACGGCCAGCCGTTTGTTCGTAGAGGAAGTACCTAGCCCCCAGACGTAGGAGGCTTTTGACTTGTGTTACGGGATGTTTAGCAGTGGTTATTAGAAAACTGATGTCTTGCTTAGTTCGTCTCTAAAAACATTAAATTCTCTCATAGCACTTGCGATTCAACGACATTTAAAATGCAAGATCATTTGAGTAGAAAAATAATTTCAAGATAAATCAAAGCATGCCTTATATCCTTAATGTATAATTAGTAACATGTAAACAAACCTGTGACAGTTATACGGTGAATGTAATTTATAAAACAACTGTAATAAATATTGCTTTTTGATTGGTCAGCGCACGCATTTGTTTGAGACGGCATTTGTTTGAGCGGGATTTTGATTCAAAAATTCATGAATACTTAATGAGCATATAGACCTATCAGGTCCTTCATATCTATCACGTGCATGGATTTATACCTGACCTTGAAGTTGTGAGGTCCATTATGAAAAATGTATGGAGTTCGTAAAATTCAAATGTTGTTCTTTGATAATCACGAAATGACTAATGAGGTTAATAAAATACTAGGATTTATCAAAGATTTTGGTGAGAAATTTATCTTGTTTGGCGCAAAAAAGGCGCAAAAAACTTTTTCGAACCAATGTTCTTTGATTACGACAGATAGTTAGTAAGGACTTTACGCACCGACGACGGTAGACCTAGACGACGGTATTCCCTGCCGAAAAAGACTAGGTCGAGAGACGTCGTCGTCCACGTTAATACTGATAAAGTATTTCGTGATGTCTCGAAGTAATGATAAACCAGACCCTGGTTGGAACGGTTTACTAGTATCAGAGTCTCTGAGAATCTAAAGGAGAAGTAAAAATAAGTTGCAAAATTTCGAACGTCAGTTTTAAAAGCTGTATGTAAGAGCGTTTATGCCATACTCATCACAGTCATCGAATAACTCAATCTGGAACTCCAATTCCAGTTCCGGGATCCGAATTTTAGCATACGTAATTAGGTTGTTGTGCGATCACGTTTCATAAAGGGCTCGCTTTATAATCAAAATGCTTCATTTAAAACGTAAATACAGGCTAATATTTGCTCAAGACCTCTCATAATTGCTTTATATTTTATTATTTTATAATTTATCAATCAATCAATCAATCAAAAGATATAGTCCTTCGTCGGAACTCCGACGAATGAAGGACTAGCGTCCGAAACGTTAGTAAGTTTTTTCATCTTTTCACGGTGTATAATTTACCTTTTCATCATTACTGAATCAATCAATCAGTTTATTCAATTTACAATTCTGGAAATATAGTAACAAGTATTTAAAATTGTATGAACAATAATTGTACAAATATGTAATAAAAGAAATAGTGATTGCAGCTTTTATAATTGAATGTATATATATCCAGAAGGAAGACACCTAAATAAGAAACCATTGGCTTATATTCTCGAGGTGTCTTATATAAGCTTGGGTAATTTAGATATAATTATTTGATGAAGCATGAAGGTGTATATTGTCATATATAAAAATGAATATATAGAAATGAATACACATTAGTACATACATATGCACATGAAGTTAAAGTTAGAAAGTATYAATTTACAATGATCAGTAATTATAAAGAGTTCATTTACAATTTGATTCAAAAAAAAAATACAGATATTAAACTCAATTGATAGATTAAATTAATAAGCACGTAAAGATCAGTGTTTAGACATAACAGCTTGCTGACCTAATGTGATTGGGTAGCATGTTCCACAGTTTTGGCCCTTGACTTATTAGTGTGAATTGTTTGATATTGGTTCTACAGAAAGCAGGTCTATAATTATTTGACTGTCTAGTTGGATAATTGTGGATTTGGGAGTTTTTTACAAATTTTTTTTGAAAGGAGTTAGGCAAAATTTTATTTTCTATTGAATACATAAATAGCCCTAACTGAAGAGAGTGAATATCTTGCAGTTTTAATAAGTTATATTGAGAAAATAAGGGAGAAGTGTGAGCATCATATCTAGAGTTAGTAATAATCCTGATTACGCGTTTTTGAAGTATTTTTAAACGATTTAAATTACTTTCATAGGTAGAGCACCATATGATATTGCCATAATAAAGATAAGGGTAAACCAAAGTATAGTAAAGCATAAGATGAGATTTTTGTGAAATAAAGAACTGAGATTTAGATATAATTCCTATAGATTTAGATTATTATATAAACAGCAATCGTTTTATTTCATACTGGACCATAGTACAATGATACTGAGTTCCCTTGGTATTCAAGCTTATTAATGCTGTCATATCTCTTTCCTTCAAACATTTTTTGTCACGTGATAAATAAGACACGGCATCAAAACAATTTTATGAATGCACAAATCTACAGGAAGCCCATATCCAATTTAGTTATTGAAAAACACAGGAAGCCCATGGCCAATTCGTATTTCCACAGGCAGCCCATCCGATTTAGTTATTGAAAAAACAGGAAGCCTATGGCCAAGACCATTTGAAATACCAAAATTAATAAATGATTTTATAATAATTATATATTTGCTTATTTTTTCTATGATTGAGAGTCGATGAGAGGTCGATGAGAGGTCGATGTAAGATTACCTCCTCTCCTCCTGCTATCAGGCTATCGATAGCTTAGCTATCAGGCTATCGATAGCTTAGCTATCAGGCTATCAATAGCTTAGCTATCAGGCTATCGATAACCTGGCTATCAATAGCTTAGTTTCTTGGCTATCAATTKGTATCTATTGATAGCCAAAATTAGTAAATCCTCACCGAAAATCCGGATCGTGCCATCCCTACACTACTACTGACTCAAAAGGAGCATCCACCTCTTATACTATGTATGTAAAGCAGTGTATTCCCAGATCATGAGCCAATGCCATTACTAGGAGCATACAGTGTCCTTGAAACAGTGTATTTCCAGATAAGAAGCCCAATTGGTATGTAGGGTAACGTTTTAAAGTGTATATCAAGGAARTTTCTGTTCTTTCAAAATCACTTATATGTGAATAGTGTAGTAGTATGGTTGCAGTATTTTTGTATGTAAAATTTTCTTTTAGGAGATAAAAACATCTGAAATATCAATATGCAAATGAGATGACGCAAATTCAAGACTAATTTATTATACCAAAACGCGGCTTTTGTGGAAAGTACTGCTGTTTTTTTCATTTGCAAATCGTCCTTATGACTGAAATATATGTCTTTGCTCACTTTTAGGTTATTTCACTTCAGAAAACTTGTCGTAAATTCAATTGCAAAATGTAACCCATTCTTGAATTTATGTCATCTCATTTGCATATTGATATCTTAAATGTTTATATCTCTGAAAATAGAAGTGCACACACAAAAATATTGCAACCATACTACTACAACTGTTCAAGTATAAATGATTTTGAAAATAATGTCTTTCCTTGATATACACTTTAAACTTTCCTATGAACTTTCGTTCGATACCTTTATACAGGATTGCCTTTTCTACAAGAACTTCACGGAATCGATCCTCCATGTTTACTGGAATGGCAACCTAAGGATATATAATTGTAACCACTGTTGTAAGCGCTGGTTCTTCACGTTCAACGGCACTGAATGCAAGACACCCCGTGCTATAGACGGTATCGTTTACATGGCAAAAGGAGTCGGTCACAACATCCACCGTGTCCGCCATATTGAAGGTCACTGTGACAAGATCCACAAGGGACCTGTTCGTGTGGGCTTCAATGTCGGGAACTGTGCCGGGTATGGAAATGTGGATGCCTATACCAGGTGGAATTCAAACAGTCGTCTTTTTGTAGAGGAGGTATCCAGACCCCAGTCGTAGAACTATCCATTTCCGACAAGACATAAGCCAGACTGATTGAATGCGAAGTCTAGTAAAGCACTATAACAAGCGCTTTGAGAATTTTTGAGCACTTTGTTTGATCCATGCTGCGTTAGTTGAAAAAATAGGAATAGAATAAACGTCAAAAACTAAATGTTACCATTATCGTTCACTATATTGTTGTGAAGTAATATCACTATTAAATGCCGCAAAAATATGTTGAGACATTGTGTTGTACTGAAATTAAACACTGAAAGGAGTTGATCAGAGGCGGGTTTTACCAAGCAAACATCGTAGATACTCGTACCTGATCTCATGGCTAAACAATTTCAGGGCCCCTCGACACTGAGCGGTGTCCACCACCACCACCACCACCACCACCACCACCACCACCACCACCATTTATCTCATTCACCCACAAAAGTGATAAAAATATATAATGTAAAATACAGTATGTTGGTCAATGCATTAATAGACCCCTTTCGAATTCCAAATTACCGCTGTGTTTCTTGATTACAGACTCATTTACTCAGGCTTAGCCTCGATTTTGTGAAGAATATTCACGTGTTCCAGTCAAGGTCCGTCAAGTTTCAAAGTGTTTGTATTGTTGAAGTTGTGCATTCTTTACTTTACCGTTGATATTTGAAAGTAATTAGACACTGATTCGAGGCTTAGCCTGAGCAAATGAGCCTGTAATCAATAAACACAGCGGTAATGTGGAACTCGAAAAAGGTCTATTATTCTCTTAATACTTGATAATTGATGGCTGTTGACTCGATAGTTTATACTTTTTCAAAAGCCGTACACACTAAACGTGATCTCGCTTGGTAAATATTTATCCTGTATATTTCATAACTGTTCAACTCTATTTAAATATTCCTATATTTTTGTATTGTAATTTTGTGTGTGAAATAAACTTGACTTGACTTGACTTGCGCAAACAAACACTGGGAGCCTACGCAAACCGGGATGAGTGCCGATATAAGACACGGACCTTTTACACCTATTTCAAAAACATACAAATAAATATAAATAAAAAGATACACCATTTGACTGAATAAACTTTTAAAATCATTATGGCAGTGTTATTATTAATTATTGGCTTAAAAAAACACAAGTGGAACTGAAATTTCAAATTAAGAAACCAAGTTATGCGGTGTCCCCCAGGGTTCTATTTTAGGCCCATTGTTGTTCTTGATATTCATGAATTATATTTTTAAAATATTCTAACGAATTCACAACTTATTTTATGCAAATAAAAGCTTAAAAGCATTAGAATAAAAATGGAACTTCCTAAATTAAATACCTGGCTTATTATTAATTACAAGATATTAAAATATTGATATTAAAAAATTGGTAGGCTTAAANACAAAGACATTATGTAAAAAGCATCGGCGTTATACTCATGATTTTTACAGTGTTTATAAAGTAMTCTTGGAAAAGAAGTTTCAAAAATACATTAAAGATCACTAGTAATTAGTAATCCCAGCTCGAGGAAAAACCTCGGTCGAGTTGGTATTGCAGTGCCTTCTGGTGCAGTTTTATGTGGAATATTTTCAAGATGGTGGCTATTTCGTCCCCAAAATTGTGCAAAAAAAGACACTTCAATGCCAACTCGACCGAGTTTTTTCCTCATATTTGGAATGCCTAATAACTACAGTGGTTGTCGGATGTGCAACGAACTCGGCTTCGCCTCGTGCAATGTTCAGCGCGTGCATGTATTTGGAAACAAAGCACACTCACATAGCAGTCTCTAACGCCTAATCAAAACATGAGCATCATACTTTTTAGTCAACGTCAAATTTTTCATGTCTGGCGGGTCGTCCTGGTATCCCTGGACTCCACGGTACACCCGGTGCTCCTGGACGAGACGGACGAGATGGCAGACCAGGTACTCAAGGTAAACAAGGTCCTCGAGGGTTTCACGGCACTCCAGGCAAGCAAGGACCTCCCGGAGCTCCTGGTACACCCGGTAACACTGGTCCTCATGGTCTTTCAGCCTATTCCAACTGGAAAGAGTGTTCGTGGACCAACATCAACGAAGGAAAAGACAATGGTCTGATCAGGGTATGTATGTAAATTTCATGAAAACATGCTCTTTTACCTAGTATTAGATTTAACAACCCTTCCCATGTTTTTCTTTTTTCTACTGTGGATCTCTTCACATTTAAAAATCCTTTTTTAGCTACAAAGGTTTTTTGTTCAATATATGTGTGGGTGTTTTGATCTGACACAAAAGGAGCATCCACCTCTTATACTATGTATGTAAAGCAGTATATTCCAAGATCATGAGCCAATTACATTACTAGGAGCTTTCATCTCCCATGCAAACAGTGTCCTTGAGGCAGTATATTCCCAGACAAGAAGCCAACTTGGTGTGTAGGAAAACTTTTTAAACTTTCCAATGAACTTTTTCATTCGATAACTTTATACAGGATTGTCTTTTCTACAAGAATTTCACGGATTCCATCCTCCATGTTTACTGGAATGGCGATTTCAGAATTACTAATTGTAACAACTGTTGTAAGCGCTGGTTCTTCACGTTCAACGGCACTGAATGCAGGACCCCTCGTGCTATAGACGGTAATGTGTACATGGAAAGAGGAGTGGGTCTCAGCATTCACCGTGTTCGCCATATTGAAGGTCACTGTGACAAGATCCACAAGGGACATGTTCGTGTGGGCTTCAATGTCGGGAACTGTGCCGGGTATGGAAATGCTGACGCCTATACCGGGTGGAATTCAAGCAGTCGTCTGTTTGTAGAGGAGGTACCCAGACCCCAGCCGTAGAACTATCCATTCCCGACAAGACATAAGCCAGACTGATTGAATAAATGAAATAGAAATAAAATACACGTCAAAGAATAAATGTTACCATTATCGTTCACTATATTGTTGTGAAATAATAACCTATTAATTGGCGCAAAAATATGTTTAGACATCGTGTTATATTGAAATTAAAAACAGAAAGGAGTTGAGTGTAGGCGGGTTTTACCAAGCAAACATCGTAGATACTCGTACCAGATGTCATGGCTAATCAAATTCGGGGCCCCTCGATCGAAGCTGGCTAGGGCTGAGTTAGAGACAAGGGTTTTCCAAATGTACATCGTAGACACTCGTACCAGATCTCATGGCTAAACAAAGTCCATTAGTCCATTACACTTACGGGAGTTGTGTTATAGGCGGATTAATGAAGTATTAGTTATTGTTTGGCAGTCAGCCGGTTAGTTGCATGACGTCAGTGATGCTGAAGCCTCCTTCTTGTCATTTTTATCTACTACGTACTACATTTTTGTCATACTACTGCTACTACTGCTAATAATACGAACACCCCCCCCCCCCCTTCCTCCCACTACCACCAAAAAAATGTCATCGTTTATCACCACCGTAAGTACAGCAGTGGTGCAGCTCAACGACATCGAACTGTGAGCATGTGAAGGCGCCTCTGGCAGCCGCTACACATTCCATGTGTGACCCCGGAGCACAGCTCTAACCAGTTTGAATAAGTTAGGGTTGATTTTGAGACGAAAGAGGAAAAACCGGAAAAGTCCTCGGAGTTAGGAAGAATACCAACCAACTCAGCTCTCATGGGGCGACTGGGATTGGAACACCGACCCCAGAGGTGAGAGGCGAGCGTCTTACCACTACGCCATCCTGACTCCCCACCATTTTACCACCAACACCACTTTTACTACTACTACTACCACCACCACCACCACCACTACTACTTCTGCTACTACTACTACTACAACTACTACTACTACTACTACTACTGCTGCTGCTGCTGCTGCTGCTGCTGCTGCTGCTGCTACTACTACTACTACTACTACTATTATCATTGACTCTGAAGATGAATTTATTCTCTTAATACTTGATAATGGATGGCTTTTAATTCGATAGTTTATACTTTTTCAACAGCCATACACACTAAACGTGATCTCGCTTTGTAAATATTTATTCCGTATTTTTCATAACTGTTCAACTCTATTTAATTATTCCTATATTTTTGTATTGTAATTTTGTGTGTGAAATAAACTTGACTTGACTTGCGCAAACAAACACAGGGAGCCCACGCTAACCGGGATAAGTGCCGAAATAAGACACGAACCTTTTACACCTATTTCAATAACATACAAATGAATATGGATAAAAAGATGTCTTCTACACCATTTGACTGAATAAACTTAAGAGCGACTGTCTGTAAAAATCAAACATACGGCGGAAAGGCTCAAATTTTCGAATAGACCAGTTTCGAATTCCAAATTACCGCTGTGTTCCTTGATTACAGACTCATTTGCACAGGGTTAGCCTAGTATCAGTGTTTAAATATTCACAAATACCGACGGTAAAGTAAAGAATGCACAACTTCAACAATACAAACGCTTTGAAACTCGACGGACCTTGACTGGAACACGTGAATATTCTGCACACACTCGAGGCTAACCCTGTGCAAATGAGTCTGTAATCAAGAAACACGGCGGTAATTTGGAATCCGAAAGGGGTCTATTCGCTCTACTTTTGGAATTTAGTAGTGTATGATGAAGCAAGAAACGCTGTGTGGTTAGTTTTGGAAAATCCTTTTTTGTTTTCGAGAAAAAGGAAAAATCGGTTTGAGTCCAGGGACAATTTTCGCTGCCAAAAGATGGCTGAAAATTGCTTACTTTCGCTTGGTCCGTGTATCAAAACTATTGATCCAAATAGCCTTCCAATACTTTCTGACAAAAGTACAACTCTCATTTGCTCAATTAAGAGTAGTTTCATAAAAATCGAACAACTCTGAATTATTTAAGACAATAAAAGGTACTATCGTCGTATACGGATTAACGAAGTACGTCATAGGTTTCCGAACACACGAGTGGGACTTAGAAATTTTGGTTCTCCTCACTTAGAAAAAAAATTAAGTGAAGACACCAAGAATCTCGGTACCTTCGGCACCAAAGAACTACTACAATGCCAACCCCAACCCTAACCCTAAACCTAAACCTAACCCCTAGACCACGAAGTGAATTCGGTTGGGTGGTCTCATTTTTTAGTCATATTAAACAATGTATCATCAGCGCCTGCAAATAAATATTTATTATAGTTTAATTTATGCTATCGTAGGGTACGATCACTAGCCGATTACTTGAAATTTGAATTTGAATAGAATTCCCCTGACAATTCCCGTACACGACGATACAACCCAATAAAAAGCAAAGGGCACTGAGTTACAATGCTTGTCAGTGCATCTCAAAAACTGCGATTTTCCCCATGTACCATCCTTCCAAATCTTATAAGATTACAGTCAACAACTATTGGGAAACTGCTCTTTTGAAAAATGTATTTTTTATTTTGGGAAAATAATGGTGCGCTTTTCACTAGAGCTTTTATTTTGACTCATTAAATATGCAGAAATCATTGTTTGGCAATTGCGTGACTAAAGACTTCTCGAAATAAATTCCCTTGAAACATCATTGTTTTTCAAATCTAGTCTATACAAATAAAAGAAAACATTAATATACTAACCTTCAACACGAAAAGGTCTTTTCCTTTGCTCCGTTCATCGGAGTTATCAAGAAATTAGAATTGGCAACTGTGGCGTTGGCTTGTTTTATGCAACCGATTTCCGAAAATACCATCTATCAGTAACTAGTCAGATTTCAATATAAGAACTATACAGAACAGTATAAGGCCAGGGATCCACCTTTGGCTATTTCTCCAAGAACTACTAGTCAGTAGCGCTTTGATAAATTGGTCTGTAATGTTTAACATGCAATTGTTTGCGAGTGACTGTCATAAACTTATACCGAGACAGCATTCCAGCGTGCAGATCGTGTCGTGGGACCATAGTGCACCGACTACTGTTCTTTGATGAAATAGAAAGAAAGAAAACAGGAATTTGTCTTGCAACAAACTGGCTTCTTAAAGAGAAATCTAGTGCAGGAACTAATCACAGAAAACAAAATTATTTAATGAATTATATCAAAACGGAGCAGTATGGCATAGTAGTTCGCACAGGTGCCTGTAGCCGGCTCCACCATAATCTATTGAGAACCACTTTTAAAATTGCTCACAAAGGGCTTTTCATGTTAAAATGACATGATAATGTATATCTCGACTCTTTTTGTTGCCAAGGATAATACATAAAATTCCAACACCACTAGGGTATGGACAGAACCGGAAGAAACTACGGTACGCTCTTTTCTCGCGCCAACTGTGACTTTTCCGACAATATGCAAATAAGAGACACTAAACAACTTTGCCAGTGAAGTTAGAAAACCTACTGTACTCTGT